AATATTAATACTCAAATTCACGTGTGATGGAAAAGAAAATGAAAATGAAGTCTCTCATATATGTCAAATTTTTCATTATAAAGGCTTATCTCCACTGAAGCCAATCGAACCGATTGGGACCGATAGATATTTATATAAATATCTATGGCCGCTACTGGCTTTCCTTTTAATTTTTATAAAAAAAAAAAGAAACTGCCGATCTATACCAATCCCCACGATCGACTTTAATGGGAATGAGCCTTTAAATCCTCTGAAGTTTTGAGACAGTGAATTCTGTATTTAGAGAATATGTATGTACATATATATACAGGGTGTTCCGAAAGTTTTTGTCAATCACTTTTGTGTAGATAGAGCGGACTAAACTGAGTCGAAAAGTCCTCTATCATTTTGCAATTTTCGCAATAATTAACAAGATATTAATTACTAAAAATTGTCAAATATATTGGTCTTAAATCATTTTTTACTCAAATACTATCAACTTTATAGAAAAGCTGCAAGAGATAAAAATCATTTATTTTCTTCTCATAAAGTTCTGAGAATTTTTTCAGAATTTTTTAATATCGTATATATTTTCTCATGTTGGTAAAAATCAAAAAATGCAGTACTAAAAAGTTGATAAAAAATTCTCAGAACTTTATGAAAAGAAAATAAATTATTTTTGTCTCTTGCAGTTTTTCTGTTTTGAAGATTTTCTAGTTCTAAAGATTAGAAAAAGATGAAAAATAAGTTGACCCGAGATTAAAGCTAATCTACATTGGTGGAAATGGGCATAAGGATATAATGCTTTAAGGATGAACATGCTTAATTCATATATGATTATACGTGTTTATGAATATTTATATACGTTTATACATATTTATATATTCATGTATGAAAAATTTTTTACCGGAAGTTCTCCTTATTATACTCTGGGCAGTCGTTACTAACATAATTGTTACATTATTGCATTATGTAGATTCTAATTATTATATACGGCCTCGTCTTCTCACGTGAGGATTCCGCAATTTTAAAATATTTTAATTTTAACTTCTGTAATGTGTTAAAAATCTAATTTCTTTAGCTCTAAAAAATTCTTACAGATCCTATTATTTCACTCGACAAGTCATAAAAAGGCATAAAAAGTAAATATCAGATTGAGTCACTATTATACATATAATAACAAAATTAAATACGATTTTTTAAAATTAATATTTTATCAATATTAATTCGCGATGTTTATAACGTGCAAATGTTAGACATTTCAAAGCGGAATTCGACTTAAGTCGCGATATTCTTCGAGTTTAAATTTGTGGCAAATAATATATGTTTCCTTGTTTGATTGCTTGCATTTTAGTAAATTATTAGAAATTATGTTATGTGATGCAATTTTAGTAATTTACTAGAACGGAAACAATCTAGCAAGAATTAATGTATCGCGTGCCGCTAACTATTAATCAGCTGATATGAAACATTTCACTTCCTCTTCCGGAAATTGAATTCCGTCGCTGCGTTAAAACAGGTTTAAATGATTTAAATTTAAGCAACAAAGTTTATTATGAAAGAAATATATACAATCGTATCATTAATTAGAACAACGAAAATTATTTAACCTTAATAACAAGTCAGACTAACGTACATCACTTAAATAAGAAAGACTTTTAAAAAAAAAAATCTAATTGACTGCATTCAGAACAGAAGTCGGTGCTTTTTTTTATAGTAGGAAAATAATTGAAACATAAACTCTTTCATTTTTCATATATAAAAAATTATGCAATGTAATCACTTTATTCCTTTGCAGCCTGAACTGATTGAAGCTCATGGTTACATAGCCGAGACCCATCAGATTTGTACAGAAGATGATTATTATTTGACCGTGCATCGTGTACTTCCTAATGATCGAGTACCATCAAAGTCACTAAACGCTGACATCATAAACACCAATGCAGCTGTTATAAATAGTGAAGATTATAATTTGTCAATTTCTACTGAGAGTCATCAACTCTTAGAAACTTCCGAATGTTATATCAGTTCCTCTAGATTGCCAGTTATAATAAACCATGGACTTCTATCTAGTTCTGCGGATTGGGTACTCCTAGGACCACACAAGGCCCTCGGTTAGTACCTATCAATAAATAACTATATATTTTTGCATTTTCTTAATTTTTTAATTTATTTTTGCATTTTTGTTATTTATTTTAGTCGTCTGATACTCTAATAATGAATAGTAATTATTCATCATCAGAATATTATAAATATTTTAGAATTTATTAATGCATCATATAACTTTTCATATTGCAGCATATGTTCTTTGTGACAATGGCTATGATGTTTGGCTCGCAAACGCTCGTGGAAACACCTACTCCAAATCTCATAAATATTACTCAATCAAAGATAGAGACTTTTGGAACTTTAGGTAATCGAGCGATTTAAAATATAATAAACTGATAAAGTAATAAAAATATAAACAAAAAATAATAGCATTGTACTTAAAAATGATAAATATTTCTGTTACAGTTGGCATGAGATTGGATATTATGATTTACCAGCAACAATAGATTATATCTTAGGAAAAACTAGTCATTCCAAATTGTATTATATCGGTTACAGTCAGGGTGCAACCACGTTCTTTGTTATGGGGAGCGAAAGACCTGAATATAATCCTAAGATCAAAGGAATGATAAGTTTGGCACCTGCAGTATTTTTAGAAAATCAAAAAAGTTCAGTTTTGAAGCTTGGCGCATATTTTCACAGTATATTAGAGGTAATGCAATGTTTTGCTGTTATATTTTCTGATTTTTTCATGAAATTATGCTATATTATTCGCCACAAATGTGTTTCAGTGGGGATCTTACATTTGCAACATAAATCAATGGTTACCTCGTAATAAATGGCAAAGTTTTATATTAAGGATCTTTTTAAGCAACGCACCTCACCCGATGACGAAAGGTTTCTGTAATTGCTGGTTTTACCTTATCGCTGGATTTGGTAGCGAACAACTCGATAAATCTATGTTACCTTTAATATTTGGACATTCCCCAGCAGGTTCTTCGGTTAAACAATTCCTTCACTTTAGCCAGTTAATAACATCTGGTAAACAATTGTTAACAATCTCTGTATAAATTAAGGACCCCGCATTTACGTGTTACATGAGAAATAATGATCAAATTAGGTCCCGGAAAAAATGTCAGACATAAGGCTCAATAATGGACAGTTTTTGAGTTGCAGGTGTATCAAAGATGCTCTCTAATGAGCAAAAGTTTTATATTCTGATATACTTTTGTATTTTGATAGCTCAAAAATGTTATAGAGAGAAGATTCATTATTGAATCTTCTCTCTATAACATTTTTTGTTCACCACATTATAAAGCTACAACATACTTATTATATGTGAAAACTAACTCATATTTCATTGAGATCCAATTATTTGTATGATTAGTGCAGGAGGTCCTGTATTATTAGCATATTATTCTTAATTTATAATTGAAAGTAAGTTCCAAATTGGAAGTTATATCACACATGTGACATCGAATATTTTTAACTAAACAGTTCTTTATGTACATATATATATATATATATATATATATAAACGTTTTATATATATAATCTATAATTGTTATTTTCCAGGATCTTTTAATAAATTTGATTATGGCACTAAATCAAACTTGTCTCTCTATGGATCTACACAACCACCTAAATATACTCTTGAAAGAATAAAAGTACCTGTGGCGATTTTTTACAGTGAAAATGACTTTATTAATCATCATATTGTAAGTTCTACTATTTCAAGATATGTCTATGCTGTATTGCTGTATGTAGTATATATGTATACATATCATGATCATTTATATTATGTCTCATCTTTTACTTCATAACATTTTCATAATTGTTTCAGAATGTTCAAAAACTGGCAGATAATTTACCAAATGTTATACAAACTGAAAAAATAGCATACGAAAAATTCAATCATATCGATTATCTCTGGGGCCGCGATGCAAGGACAATCTTGTATAATAATATTGTAACTGTGTTGAAGAAATTTTAATGCATCGAGATCATATTTTAATAAATAATTGTTAATTTTGTATCTGCAAGTAACAATTAAATAACTCAGGAATATTATTTACTATTAGGTTATATTTCATGTGTGAACACACATAAATCAGTAGAAAAATTATGATTATCTGCAAAAATAGAAATACTATTTTTGTGTCTAATGTTTGTATATATATTTAAATGTGTAAAAAATAAAGTATATGTTTATAAGTAATACATTTAGTAGATAGATTATGAACTGCAGATAGAATACTTATTTTTATATGCTTATAAAATATAAGGAACAAAAATATATCTTGAATATATTTTCGTATCTTATATACAATATATATACAATCTATATATTAATCTATATATTAATGAGATAATTTAAATTAATCTACGATTTATTCCGCATTAATTGATAAAAATGTTAAGATTTCCTCTTCTTTATATTTATTCCTAATATGCGCACACGCACACACCATGCGCGCGCATACACATATATAATTGTACCTAACCCAGCAAAGTATAATACATATATTGTGTCTTTTATAATTTCCTACTCAACAATATAACTAATATGTGTTATATATAGGTATGTATTATGTAATATGTTATAAACATTTATTATGTTTTTTCAAATTTTATTTTTTTTCACTGCATGACAAATATGAAATGGTCAACAAAAAATTATATAGAGAATGTAAATATATATAGTTTAGATAAATGATATATTGATTATGACGTTAGAAAGTTTTGAGAAAATTTAATGTGTATATTAAAAAATCAGAAAAAGAGAAAGAAAATTTGAGGAAAAGTACAAATAAAATTAATAATAGTTCTTAAGAAGACATCTACAATCTATCCAAAGTTTGTTTTCCCCCTCTTTCAATATGAGACATATATCTATGAATCCATGCAGGCATGGGCATATATCTATTGTGAAATGTAGTAGTAGTTCCAATGTTTGTATAGAATAGAATATCACATATATCAATTTTTATATCATGTGCATATCAGTTTTTATGCTAATCTATTTTTTCCAGCGTGCATATTCGTAACAAAGACATAAATACAGACGTCAATAGACGTGCCGAGGAAGTTTATATCACGAAAATATTTTTTTCTAAGAAATAACCTTTACTTATGTTTACTTTATAATTCAAAGATATTTATGCCTTTTATGATCAGGTGAATAGACTTTATTTTAAAATTATCTCCTATATTAATAGAAATTTTTTTTCAAATACGGTTTCCTTATCATAGATAAGCATTATTATATAATTCAACGATGAAAGTTGTGACTGACTGAAAGTTCATTTCACATTCGTTTTATGTGTTATATACTTATTCCTTGCAGATAACTGTTGTCATGGCTTTAAAATTTGCCAGTAATCTGTCTTTTATGTTTACTGAGGTTCCTAGTATTATTGACAGATATCAATTGGCCAAGCAAGCTGGATTTAAAGCAGTTGAAAGTGGATTTCCATTTGGTTTCTCCGTTCAGCAAGTTGCCACAGCTAAAAAGAAGGCTAATATTGACCAAATACTTTTGAATGTATTCACAGGTATGTTGTATTTATGCTACAACATTGCAAAGATAATTTCATTAATTTTATAGCAAATTCGGTCACTTGTATTATACTAAATCATTCCTACAAGACATAATTGCACAAAAGTTGCAGCAACACTGCATATTGCAGAAATATTGCAGAGATTTTACAGCGACATTGCTGCAAATTCTATGCTATATGGGCAGTGCATACTAAAAGCTGCTTTATATGAAATTAACAAAGTTAAATGTAAAAGTATATAAATATTTTAAAACTTTTAACTATCTAGTAATGATATTGTCATATTATTTAAGAAAATATATATGTATCATTTTATTGTCAAAATTGATTATATTATATTATACCACTGCATTGAGATATTTTATAAAGCAGCTTTTAATATCCACTGATCCAGTCTAGTTTGAGTGATCAAATTCATCATTAATTTCAACATTGTCTTAACAGGTGATGTCACAAAAGGAGAAGTAGGCTTTGCTGCCATTCCAGGTGAAGAAGAAAATTTCAAAAAAAGTATCGAGAAAACAATAGAATATGCAAATGCTTTGAACTGTAAAATGTCAGTATATCGATAAATTGTAAATTCGATTGAGAATATAATTTTGGTAACAATGAGAGAGAGAGAGAGAGAGAGAGAGAGAGAGAGAGAGAGAGAGTGTTACATAATCATAATAACGAATTTTATTCTTGATAGAATTCATGTAATGTCAGGAAAAGTGGAGGCTCCCACTGCTGCTAATGATATGGTTTATGAAAAAAATCTATTGTATGCTATCGAAAAGTGTAAAAAAGAAGACATTGTTGTTGTCATTGAACCAATTAATAATTATAGTGTACCAAATTACTACATGAATAATTTTCAGAAAGGTATATGAATTCATATTGTCTATGAGTTGTAGTTTACTTCCTCATAAATGAATCATTAGAATAATTTTTTATATTTTTATAACAGGTTTAGATTTAGTGAAAAAAATAAACAATGCACACTTCAAGCTATTGATGGATATCTTTCATTTACAACATTGTTGTGGTAATATTACAAAATGCATTCAAGATTTTTTACCGTACATAGGTTAGTAACTTTACATTATATTAATTTTTATTGTTAGATTTTCTTTGTGTATAGTTTTATTATATTTTTAATGTATCTTGTGTTTGAAAATAATTTTGTTAACTATATATGTACATATTTTATTTATTCAAGTAGATTTAATCTTAATATGATCTATATAAATAATACAATTTATTTCAATGATATGTATATTTATATTATTTCCATATTATTCAAATAAAAAAAATATATATTTAATGTATATTTAATCAGTATATTACTTTTATAGGTCACATTCAAGTAGCTCAAGTTCCTGATAGACATGAACCAGATACTCCAGGAGAGATTGATTATAAATATATCTTGTCTTTATTAGAAACAACTGGTTATACTGGCTATGTTGGTCTGGAATATCGGCCAAAATCATTAACAGTGGAAGGGTTAAATTGGATTAAAAGATACGGTTACACTTTGTAAATGAGTATTCGTATATGTTACATATGTAAATATATATAAATGATTCCATTATTTCTATATTCTTAAACAAAAAATATTTTCATATTGTATGTACGTGAAATAAAAAAACATTGCTATAATTGTACAAAAATATAAACATATACTTCCGAATGAATAGGTTTTTAATTGGTAGTAATTAGTAAATAATTTTCAATAAATCTATTAATATAAATTTTTGTATATTAATGGAAATATGTAAGAAATACATAATTAACATACCTATAATAAGTAAATATTATTGTTTCACAGTTCGCATGTGTAACTAAGCTTTCAATAATTATATGTATATGTATATAAGGTTGAATACGCATAGATATTATTTATATATTTCGTACTAGTATAAACATAAATAATTTCTTAAAGAACATATACATAAGCAAAGATGGCAGTTCAATATAAGTATATATACAAACTCTTACGCCTGAAATTCATATAATAAATTCATATAATAAATACGACCAATTGCATAATTTATATTTTTTAAATTTGTCTAAATATAAAAATGATATTCTTAAAATTAATACGCAATCAATAGTATTTATATAAGTACAAGCACACACATCGTCTCATTCTGTATATAATATTATATTATACAACTGATATTTTATTATAAATTTGAAAAATTGATTGCACTTAATTATAGATTTCGTACAATGTGAAATTTGTATTAAGTATCTATTTTAAAAAGTAATAGGATGATTCTTATAATATATATTTAAAAAATTTTATTATATATGAAATTCATATTTTTGCAAATATTATTTTTATATTATATTTTATGAATCATTCCGAGACTCCTCTCTGATTATAATATACAGGATATTTCCTGTAACTTGTTTATTTAAAATGTCTCCGTTGTTTTTGATGATACGAGAAAATGCCACAAGGGATCTTGTTCGATTCGAAGGAGTATCATGATAAACAAAAAATTTTTCTCAAAGTCATATTTTTTGAGACTTCGTCACCTCTATTTTTTTAATGGAATTGTATGATTTTTTTACACAATATAGTTCCTCTAATTATTTTGCATATAAAAATATTAAGGTAGTGATATAAAAAAATAAATAGTTTACGAGATATTTTATACTTTATTCTGGCATATATTGACCTAAGATATTAAATAACTCATAAACTATTAATTTTTTGATAATCATATCTCAATACTTTTATATGCAGAATAATTAGAGGAATCATATTGTGTAAAAAAAAATCATACAATTCCATTTAATAAAGTGGAGATGACCTAGAAGTCTCAAAAAATATGATCCTTGATTCTTGAGAAAAATTTTTTCTCTCGTAACATGTGTCCCTTCGAATCGAACAAGATTCCCTATAGTATTTTCTCGTATCACGAAAAACAACGGAGATATTTTAAATGATCAAGTTAAAGGAAGCACCCTGTATATAATTCTATTTAGATTAACTTAATGTAAAAATATAACGTAAAAACATTAAATATACATATATAATGAAATTGCAAGTTGTACATAAAAATCTTAGTAACAAATTACTAAAAATTTAGAATCATCCTGTTTATTTTTTAATAAAATATGGACGAATTTTTATTCGCAATTTTTATCATTTTTATTTTGTTTAGCACACATATATGTGCCTACGTTTCGATAAAGATTATTATTACTGCAATATTCTCTGAATTGAACTGAAATGACTCTTCATCATTTTATACTACAATTTGTAATCTACACAATCAATTACAAATTTATAGTAACATTGATATTATACATTACGCTACAGGGTAATTTAATTATATGTGAAACATTATGGTTAAAATTACAAGTAATTATAACAATACTTTTAACAACGAATTCGTGTATATATTACAATATACATATATAATACAGTTAATATTCAAAGATGTGGAATAAACCGCAATGTTAAAAATATTTGCGTTGACTGCAATAACAATTCAGTGTGAATTTCCTTCACAACAATAGTACCTATGTAAAATAGCCTTAAACGCACAATGCCGAGAATTAAAACATAAGAAAGCACCAAATATAAATTATATTCTGGATTACAATCGTCTGGATTACCGTACAGCAAAATTACAATTATGGGAAGGCGTACAAATTTGTCGGTGTTATTCAGACAGATTCTGTGACATCCATTAGTGGTTGGTCGACATCAACAGAAGGACCTATCACAGCAGTGCTGTAAAATATTTTGAATAATATATTTTATAAGAAACTCCAAAACTCTTGATAGCAATACGGGATATGAAGATCTTATTTATAACAGAAATAAAATTTCTTTTCAACAAAAGCTGTCAATCACAATACTGCACAAAAAACAAAGACCAATGCTTCATATAGCTTTATTAAATGTTGTTATAAATACAATCATAAAAATGTTAATTTGCCATTCATTCACCCACACCCAAAGTCGAAGATATGTTAGATAGGCCAAATACAGAATAATATAGAATAAAAAAAGAATAATGTTTATTTTGACTTTATATACACATATTCATGCAAGCGTGATATTATAATATTCAATCGGGATTACAGACAATATTACCCAGTGCCAAGAGCCAAAATTGTAGCTTCTTGTACCAATGTCATTTGATCAATGGTGGACCTGTGATCAATCAAAAATTCAAGAGAATGGATTATATAAAAAAAAAGATATTGTACTATATTTACCTATACATGATATGTATGATTATATATATATACACACGCATAGTGTAAATAAAAAGTTTGAATTACACATTCAATCAGCTTGAAATGAACAAAAATTTGAAACATATATATACTATGTAAAATCATGAAAAATTATGAAAACAAGACATCAATTTATTTCAGTCAGATCCAAGGAAATCTAACGCAGATATATATTTTTTTTTAATTTGTTTTATTGTTATTTTTTTATATTTTTTAATACATATTAAAATAATATAAGGAAAATTATTTTATATGGCAAGTTAATATGCACTATCTCAAACAAGTTATTTTGTCAATTTGGTTCAAATTATTACGAGGAAAAATTAAAAAGCAATAATAACGATTTCAGAATTAGTTTGTTGTGGAAGCAGGAGCACTCAGCAAAAGAATGTTTAGTATTTATTAGTAGTAAAATCAGAAACTTACTGTAATTTCGTAGCACGATGTATTTTATCTTATTTATATATTTATATGATAAAACTTCATACAATACATTTATAAAATGTAAAAACCTAAAAGATGCATGTATAAGTTGAATATCAATAAATATGTTCAGTCAGGATATTTCTGTAAATGATACTGTGTAAATTATACTTTTGTATTTCTTAATATTGTTATATTACATTTATTGATAGGCATTGTCAATGTAGGATAGGAATATTCTATAAATATGAGATAAGATAAAGAATAATTATAAATAAAATTTTATTTCTATGAAGAAATTCGTTTTTTACAGATGATTTTAGATATATTTCATATTCTACTATAAATATAAATGTTTGTTTTTTAGCAACAAAGAATATTTGAATTAACTATTGGAATGTATATATCACTGTTCATTATTAACAGAGTGCATAATAATATAATACTTATTTATAATACAATAATATGAATTTCATTTCATAACAATTAAAATATCTAGATACATTAATTTATTTACTATTATTGTGAGAACATAGTATGCCAAGTCCTCCGAATAAACAAGACATCCTACAACTCATGATCTTAATTTTAATTCTCTGATCTATTTGAAATCAAGTTTTCTTCTTCGTAGAAAATCATTTATGATAACCTTTCGTAGATCATCATTTATGATAACCTTTCAATTTTGGAAAGTTATATATTTTTTATAGTTCTGAATGTTATATATTTTTACAGTTTTAAATAAAAATTCTGTTGCAAAATACACTTCAAATTAACTGAAAAATATTACTTTATCAATTTATCTATAGATAAGAAATTCAATTTACAATTATTTCTAAATCTCAATAATTATTAACACCTCGATATTTTTTCGTTTAAGAAAAATCGATTCCAAATTCGTTAGAGAACCTATTATTAAAATCAGTTATGCATCATGAGAGGGAGGCACTTCACTTTAGTTGCGATAGATTTTATACAACTACATGTACTATTAAATGATAACAAATATCTGCATAAATATAATTTGTAAGGAATGATTGCTATATAAAGTGGCGGTTGGATACACTATCAAATTGAATAAAATTGTCTTGATCTAAGAATCAAACCTATAAAGTACCTGATTTACATAGGGAGATGGGGAGTCAAATTCAGTTTCATCACCCCACTGTTGGGTGCCAGGGCCCAACAGAGTATGAGTATCTTCATTGCACAGCCGCTCGGGAAAGTTTACCCCGTCTCCAAAGCTGCAAGCCATACCCTACCTTCTATTCGATGTTATCCCATGTCTACAATCCTTATGGCGTAACTATCTATTATATTTCTCTTTTTTTACTTTTTTTCGTTGGCTCAATTTACTTATCTAACCGATTAAATGAGGAAGTAAAGGAAGTAAAAACAAGGTACTCCTTTTAAAGAATGAATAACTATACATAGTTACACCACTTTTATACTACAAGTACAGTTTATAAGAACCATATGCACAATACCTCACGTAATTGTTATAATAATTTTACGCAAATTAGTCTTCAACTAAAATTTATAATGTAACATAAGACATGCAGCTTTATCACAAAAATTAATCTTAAATGCTTTTATATAGACATATTATTATTTAAAAATATATTACATTTAAATCTTTCAATACACATTCTGTAACGAGTAGATATTTATCTGTAAATGAGATATTAAAATATAATTAATAAATATATTTTTAGAGAAGACTGCAGAGACTTTAAAATAATTTTTTTTTGTTTTTTAATAATATCCTTTTCCTTCAATATATATTTCAATAAACAAAAAATAGAAAAATCGATTGGCAGTTATAGATATATGCAAATTGTGAATTGTGTCAAT